ATTTATTTATTTCAAATAGCAGGCGTTTTGATAGCTATCAATAAACATTTAGCTGACTTCGAGTTTCACAGAGAGAAGGTTCATCAAAGTAGCAGAAAGTCGAGGGGCGGGGAACAGAAGGGCAATTCACAGATGAAAAAGAGGCAGACAGACACAAAGGTAGGGAAAAGGTAAGATGAGTACTGTGGAAGGGGTCGAATATGACAAGCAGTCGGGCCATGGTATTTTGAAGTCAGAAGTCAAATGCTGATTAATAGACTTTTTTGCCGTATGAGTATACGTTGCCCAGGGTGCACCACGTGGAGGTAAGTCTATCGCACACCCCTCTTTTCTAAATTAAAACGGTTGAAAAGTAATGCCACTTTCTGTTCAGACTAATTGTCTTGATATATCCATAGCAGATTGCTCTCATATCAAAAAATCAAACAGGTGGTTTGGAGATCACTTGTGCGTTTCTCCTTATTCTTCCCAGTGCATGACTTCAATTCGAACTTATCGTGTCCGTTGTTTGTTTGGTGTGCTAAGTAATAGCCCTATAGGCTTCTAAATATCTCGTTTGATCGTTCTGTTTTCTTAGCATTGGTATGACAAAACGACTTGAAGTGGTAAACCCATTCAGCCAGTCGATGGGCCATGCACCGCGAATGCAATTTGGTCTGTAATTCAGTGGACGCACAATAAAATTTTAAATAGTGAACACGAATCACCCATTAGGTAGATCCAATTATTCAAATGGGATTAGCTTCTTTGACATATTGATGGTGCTCTTCTTATTTGCTTGATCGTATTCCTTTTCTCTCCTTTGTTGGACGTATTGTTAGCTAATTTCAGTTGCTTTCCACAACGATGGAGTGGGACTTGTTTTACCTCACTGTGGATTATAAGAACATAACAATAACTCCCTGCTTTCTCTCCCTCTCTCTATAGTGCTTTATGAACTCTATGCTTCAATGTCTGAGCAACACTTCAGAGTTGCGTTTCATCTGCTTGAATGATGTCTATACTTCTGAACTCAATGTTAACAGTACCATGAGAGGCAATCTATTCAAGGGTAAGTATCCTTCTCTCTTTAACAATATAAAACCTTGTTATAAACTGCTTTGCAATATATATATATATATATATATATATATATATATATATAGCGGAATAAAGAGTTTACTAAGAAATATAGATTCAGGTAGTCGGAGAGGTGAGGTTTTTCTGCGTTTCAATTTATCCCTCCTCTTACTGAATCGCATGTATACCTTCGATTAATGCGTTTTGTTAGCCCAAATTCATTTTTAGTATTTGTTGGTTCAAACATTTCTCGAAATTCATTAGAAGGTTGGTTTATCATTAGTCTCCTTCCACTGCTTTCGCTTCACAAAGATAGTCCAGATGCTTAAATTCGGTTGAACTCACTCGGAAATCCTGACAAAATTTTGGTTTTAGAATGTTAGAACACGAAGCTATTCTACACTAAAAAACCGAAACCAATGAAATAGGGCCCAATGCCTATTCTGTCCACTTCCAATTTTGATAATTTTTCCTTTTTAATTCTTGTTTATGTTTTGCTCGTCGTCAATATTGCTAATTTCGGAATGGACGCAACATCTTTCGTTAAGATTAGCAGCTACTTTTAACTATCCTTTTAACTTATTAGATGTATTCTAGAATTGATCGAAAATCTAAAAGGTTGGAAATATTGCCTATTTGATTTTAAGCTTGAAAAATTTTACATTGGAATAATCAGCTCATGTTCACCACATATATATATTTTCATATGAGCAATGAAATTTTCGAGAGAGAAATAGAATATGAATGTTAGCTTTCAATTAGGCTTCACTCGTACCTTGTGACTTGCATTCTCACTAGCCTATCAGCTTTCTAATCTCTATTTTCCCACACCTTTTATCATGTATTTTTCATTTTAATAGTTAAATCACATGCCAACCCATTTTGATCTTTTCAGGTTTAAAAAAGATGACCATATTATTACTTTTTCCCGCTAATGAAAAGTATTCAACCAATCATACTTACTCTATTGGTTAACAGATTTGGTGGTGCAACTAAAACATTCTATGTTGAAAAAGTGTTTTTGTTTTATTTATAAATCTTGTGCAAAGTACACCCTTCTGATAAGCGCATTATTGCCTTTATTTAAACAAATTGTATTCTGTATTTCGCATTTGTATTATTTGAACAAACTAAATGAATATTTGGTTCATTGATTCTTCTTCGCCAAATATTTTGCACTACATTTAGGATCAATAGTACTGATCATGACATCCTGATATTTATTGGTTCATTTGGCTTTGTCTATTGAAAGTCTTGAACCACCTGGATATTGTACACTGGAAACTCTTCTTTTTTCTGCCCAAGGAACAGTGGTTCCTCTGCTAGGCCAAAAGAAGCACTTCCTTTTTTACGAACTCCAGAAGCCTCACAGTTCATTGCATTTGCTCTAATTTCCCTGGGGCGTTTTGGAGAGTTTTATGTCATAAGAACGTGGAATAATTTTTCTTGGTTAATTTGACTTGACTATATCGTCTTGTAAGATTAATTCCTAATTCTTTTGTTTGAAAAATTGATTAAAATCAAGTTTTCAATTATGTTCTCAATATGCTTTTCTGCAATGATAACAGCTTCAGTAGTTGAGTTTGGTGTCTATTTGAAACGTCTCCAGTTCGAGGTCACATCAGATAATTTTATCACTACGCTGATGCCTCCTCTCTTTGCAGTTGTGCATATTGGAGTTCGTCTTTCCAAGCCTTTAATATATATAGCGTTATGAAGCTATGTGGATGTCAAATCTGAGTGAGAACCTGCTATTTTTGCTATCCTCACTGTCATCCGTCCAGATGGCAAATGAATCGATGATTGGGTTATTCATGGATTGTACAATTTTCAGTTGATTCCAACTGAATTAAAATGGTACCTGCGTCAGTTCTCTATCCCTGCTTTATTAATATGTTGTTGGAGGGTGCGCCTGCACGCTATACACCCAACTCCAGATTTGAGGTCACATTTGGCGTAGAGTTGCACTTTAACTGGGTCTTTCCTTCCTAAAGCTCATGATAAGCCCAGTAGTTTTGCTTCCTTTAGAAATGAGAAACAAATTCTTCGATTACTAGAAAAAATGATATTTCCAACTAATTAAAAATCGGTCGTTCCAAATTACCAAGGTGGATTACTTAATCATGTATTTAATTACATCATTGACTTTTTATTTGTCAAATGTTTAAAACGAAAATCATCAATTATTATGATTATTATTATTAGTATTATCAAGATTTTTGTAGTTCTAATTTACTGGTTTATTCACCTAATGGTGAATCTTGTGAATGAAAAAAATCGAATCATTTTTAATTCCCATGGCAATTTATTTCCCTGAAACACAATATAGGTTTATCGCTTACTATTTTCAAATATTTGATTTTGTCTACCATTTTATTATCATTTATCTCCAATCTGCAATAGGAAGTGCAATTATGAATCTCATCCAGATCAGACCGTTGTTTGTTCGCCTAGGTCCATTCTTCGCGCAGTGAAAGAGACCAACAATTTATGACATTCCATTTCTCAAAAATATTACTTTTTAAAGATGAATAACTAAAATGATCAAATATTTCCTCGACGGTAGCTATTAAAATATACTTCTTCTACGTCTGTGCGGAAGGAAGTCTGAAACCAATCCTGCGGAAAAACTTGCATTCCATCACCTCTCTAGGTGACCATTTGTCCAGATGTCGAGTGTCCACCCACACTAGCAGGCGTGCACGGATGGGCATCAATATCTTGACCTCTGACTTAGCAACCAAACGCATCCACTGCCCAATCTCTTCACTAGGGTTAGAATGTTCGGGTGCATATGAGTTTTTAAGATGATTCTTTTACCGGCGAATTATTATTTTGCTATACATAATTATTGCCTTTTTGCTATTAAACTTTAATATGTTATGCACATAACTATTTATCTTTGTTTTTTTTGTAGCATACGCCGATTTAGCACACCAAATGTGGTCATCAATTAGCAGTGGTGTGAGCTACATCAGTCCACAACGCTTCCGTTCACAAATCCAGAGATACGCTCCTCGATTCCTTGGTAATTCGTAAGTTGCTTCACATTCTCAATCTGCTCTCGCTCTCTCCCCTACCTTAATTGTAATTTTTAAAATTTATATCTCTTCTGGTCATTTTAGCCAGCAAGATGCTCAAGAATTCCTTCGTTATCTTGTCCAAGGCCTTCATGAGGATGTAAACAGGGTAACTCATCGACCGACCATTGAGCCTCCTGACTATGATAAGGAGGACAAAATGCCGTGAGTTACTTTCTCAAGTCGTCTAGATCTTCTAAAATTATATCAAATTACAATAGATTTTATTAGATTGCAGGGTGCTATAACTTGTATTGTATCCGGTCTCTTATTTATTGCCACCATTCAGCTTATAATCCTCCTCTTCATCGATACGAATTCGAACCTCCTCAAAGTGAACCACTTTGACAGAATACTTAACTCGACAAAATCATATTCGCATAGATTACATTTATGTAGGTCTATAGTGGAGTTGAAGCTAACATTTTAAATTCACCAGTTCGACCTTCTTTGCTCAATCCAGCTGAATTTTAATTATTGCAAAATGAAAATTATGTTAATTCACAATTGATTTCACGTTTGCACTGCACACTTTCGTTCATTCTATGGTCTACACTGTAGCAGTAAATCCACTAAAACAATTTTTTAGCCGATAAAATTTTGTTAGAAGATATCCCCCAGTGAAATTAATTAATTTCTTACAAACAATCCGTAGTATATGAAAAGTAAGGAATAAATGTCCACACAGAATGTGAATGGTTTTTTGATAAACATGCATATTAGGTTAATTTAATTGTTTTGTATCCTTTGCTGTCTAGTGAAGAACAACAAGTCGTCATTCAACAATTGGCTTTAATTTGTCTCTGAAAGTAATCGCATTCTTTTCGATAGGATGCTTTTGTAAGAGTAATATGCCCTACGCTAATGAGGAAGAGAACTAAATTGATACAAATATGCATGTTTACTATAAGGCTCGTTTAAGCCTTGGCAGACATTTGTGTACCACCATTTAACTGGTAGATGAAATCGATTTTGCCAAGTTTGAGGCCTTGGGGGATTTTAACTGAATAATTGCAAGGATATAAGGGCCTGGAATTTTTCATTCCATTCTCTGTATAAAAAGCAATTAGCTCACTTCTAAATTTAAGAGGAAGTTGTGACGGGTCTAAATGCTTTTCCATCTTTAAACGCTTCTCAATTAAGCGTACATTTCCTCAGTAAACTTTATTTTCAAATACACATCTGGTTGTACTGTCACCAACCCAACAGGAAATAATTTTTCTCCCTCTGACTTTTTTGCATGCTGATAGCAATTGTTAAAATAATTTTTCTCGTCATTGGAGGACGTCCATTTGTTTTGCTCTTGCTGCCCTGGTTTAGCGTGAGGAGTGTAGCGCCTTTACAGAAGTAAAATTACTTCCATATGGTAATATTTGTCAACTGTTAAATTGAATTTTACTTTTCCTTCATTTACCAGGGTGTTAATTTACATCTGGTCTATTTTAATTTGGACAATATTCCCTGTAAAGGGTATGCTTGAGCTTACTTGCATTTTTCTCTTCATGCCACTGCGGAAATTAAAAGAATAGCCGCTTATCCTTTAGATAAAAAACCTGATCTAACCGTGTCCTCAGGTAATAGTGTCTCTAATAAGAAGTAAATTTTTTAAATACTATAGAAATCTGCAATTTTCATGAAATTTTCTTTGCAAATCGCGCCTGAAAATGTTCTTGGGAATAGGACTAACTCCTTAACATTTCCATGTCACCTAAGATGCTTCAAATTAGTGTTTTTTTAACGTTTCTTTAGCATGGCCGCACTGTTTATTTACTAAGGCTTGTTTAAGAGCTTTCCCTGTGTTTATTGTTTTCGAAAGGCGCAGGTTTTAAATGCTTGTGCAGTCGAATTACGCTAGACTTTTTCATAAAGGAACCCCAAAAACGAGGTATGAAGGTGCCACTAATATTGAACTTTTCGATTTTAGGTTCTTTATTCTATTTAGAGCTTTTAGGATCAATTGTTTATAAATTACTTCATTTAAGGTAGTGGAAGGTTTGTTATAATGAAGGCCTGATTCAATTTATAAACTCCTAATCCAACGCTTCCATTCCAAGGTACCAGATTTATGATGACAAAAAATGCAATTAAAAAAATTATGCCCTTAAAGTTGATTTTACTTCCTAAATTTATTTTCCTTGGAAATTCTTAAGATATTTTTAAAAAGTTCTCTTTCAACCCTCGACGGTTGTTCAAATCCCTTTACTTCAAACCTAGAACCTTTAAATTATGGACTTCTTTCATTTTTTTCTTTACAGTTAACCATAGTCAGACTTCAATGCAGGTATTATTAAATTATGAAATCGTATCTTTCCTGACACGAGAAGGAATGTTTTGCATAACTGCAGGCATATGCAGATATTAGCCTGAATAAATATGCCAGAATTAGACGAAGGGTGCCATCAATCATAAAAGATCAAATCTCTACTTTTCTCTATTTTACATGAAATCTCTTTCACACATTTTCCATGGAGTTCTCAGCCGACACTATTATTGGTTAACAGGTCTAGTGCGCTTATTGGTTGTTGCTGTACGTGCACGTAAGTGCATAGGCATATTTTAATCTCCCGAAGGTTAACTCACTATCAAATCAACATCTGGATGTTAAGGTCAGATTAATATTTTTTTTTCCTCAGTCAGGCGACAGTGCATATGCACTAGTTGTGGGATTGTGAATTTTTCCCACTTTTAGGCAACGCTTGTACACTTTGTACTTGAGATATGTTTTCCTTCTCCCTAAACAACTCCTCTAGCACTTTGCTTTGGTAATTTAATATATTAGAAGTCATGACAGTTCCTTTGCTGCAACCGTATAACATGATTAAAAGTGCTCATTACATTAGCTAGATTCTCCTTTCCTCTTTAATAATAAATTACTATTAGCGTTGAATTAATTTCAGTAAAATTATTTTATTTACGGACACTTTTCTAAAAGGGCGAATGATTGTTTTACAAAATTCTACTCCAGGCCATTTGATCATTTTTAATATCTCACGAGACTAGTTTAAGATTGATTGTCATAAGAATAAATTGGTTGAACTTTTATCGCTCTATGCTTTTCAGTACTTCTGAATACTATTCAAAATGGAGACACTCGCTTTTGGTCACAATAATGGGTTTAATATTTCGATAATATCAATCTTATAATCATGATGCTTTCGTGCTATATCATTTATTGTAAACTTTTATCATCCAACACAAATCAGCTTTGAGAGAGGTCCATAGAATGGGAGATTGATAAAGTCGTCGACATAGATTATAGGTGGTGTGATTGCCAGGAATAAATGAATTGTTGACAAGAATCATCCCTGGGTTGTTGACAATTTCATTACCTATAATTGCTAGCCAAATTATTTGCGGTTTGCTCCATTAAACTGCTAAAAGTGTGGTTTAACTAAGTCTTTATTAAGAAACGCCTCTTAGATAGGGTGGTAAATGGCTGAAGAGATGTTAAGTCGAATTGGCTATGGAAGTCAGGTAAAGGGTCGAAAAAGTGTTCGACTTGCTAACAAATGTATCCACAGTCCAGGCTGTTAATTTACCTTACCTCCAATTACTCATTAGCATGGCTCTTGGTGATCTATAATACTGGTGAGTCAGTTGCAGGTAGAGAAAAATAAAAAAATGGTGTCAGCTTTACTTAGGTGTATTGCATATTACCACCTTCCATTTGGAATATTTTGGAAATGAGTATTACTTTAATGAATCTTCCTTTCTTTTCAGGGATAGCAAAAAGGCCGAACTTTATTGGCGTCGCTATAAATCCATTGACGACAGTTTAATATCTGGTTGGTATTATTGCAGTATTAGTAATTCTATATTACCACTTTCCTTGATCTTACCTCTGGGCCTTAATTGCAGATCTGTTTATGGGACAATTGATGAGTACTCTGGAATGTTTGCAATGCCATCATCAGTCAACCACCTTTGATCCTTTCTGGGATCTTAGTCTTCCAATTCCTCCAGTATGTTATATAATTTATTTAACTTTTTTTCTTATATTGCCCCTCTTTTAATGCGCCTATTTTTTATATTGGCTAAGAAACATCGAGTGAGAGCTTTCGAAAATGCTAACATATTTCTCGCTGTCGTTCTTGCGTGTTCTGCTAATAAACTGTGTTTGGCTTTTAATTAATACAGGATTGTATCTGTATAACCAAACCCAGTTGCATCAAACCTAACTATTGTTTAATTTTTGCCGTTTCATTCAATTTCCCCTGTCAGAAAGCGGGGATGCGTCAACTTATTTCGCACAGTACAATAGACTGATTTTGTGTGTGGGGGGGGGGGTTGTTGCCTAATCACTAAGTTATGTAAATGACTACCGCTCTGATCTACTTACTTTGTTGCTTTCCAACGATAGGATTGATTCCGTGAGGGGAATAGAAAGCAGATTGTGGCATGCAAATATTTTAATCTTGAAACTCGCGCGTCTTACGTAGCTTAATTTGCCATTTTCTCTTTATTTTTCATAGTCAAACCTTTTTTAATAGTCTAATTCAGGTAAAGCTCGACTTTTGAACTATCTAGTTGACTGCCGAAGCTGGAATTCGCTGTCAAAAGCTCAAGATTCATGTCTCTGTATTCTCCTCACCCTCCTCCTTTCACAAATTAGTTCACATTGATCAAAATGAAGAGCGCATTCACCCTGCACAGGCGGTTTAAATTTTGAAAGTCGGAACCACCCAGTCGATGTTTTCTCAAAACGATTACACTAGAGACTTAGTCATTCAGCAACAAAGTACGTTTTTTGTATTCCAGTAGCCAACATTAATGTAACTTGGTTGAGTTAATTCACAATAAGCTCAGTTTCTTGAACTATAAAATTTAAACATCAGCATATCTTTCCAATGGCGGATAATTTAAGACCTTCGTATCTCTAGAAGGGCTTGGAAGTAGCTGTGAACTCACTCAGCTTATTTATCCAAACTTTCTGAATTTATCAAAGTTTATTTCTCATCTTCGTCGATATTTTGCCATGGAGATCGATTCGTGAAGATCGTTTTTAATTTGTACATCTGAATAACTTGAATTGAGCACTTTGTAGGGCTAGCGGAATTTTATAGACCACATTCATCGATTGATGTTTGTGGCTCTTTTTTTCAAATTAAATTACAACAATGGATTCTTAGGGCAGATAAATAATTTTAATAACTTTAACAAATAACTATCTGTTTCTCAGTCAAGCTCAGTTACTGTAATCGGTATTTGAATTGATAACTAAAATTTATGCTGCTGTATCTTTTTATATTTGGTAGCGAAACAGGATTCAGAAGCCGAATTAGATAGTGTTGTAGTGTATGTTTTTCCATTTAAATATATTTACACTGTTATAGCTGAACAAGGTCGGTATCGAGGACTGTTTCAATCACTTCACTTCGGATGAGATTCTGGGAGGGTCTGAACAACCGGTGAGTTTTTTTGTGGTTTTCTATGTTTCCTGACTAATTGCTAATCTTCATTGTCGTCTTCTTCGTAGTGATTTTCTAGACAATCACTTTCTACTTACCCATTAAATTTTCACTTATTAGGTGAATCGACAACATAGTACCATGCCTGTGAGTTTCAGCCACCAACGCATACCTAATACAACTAATTTGATGTCTTTTCTATTTCGTTGTTGTAATCATAGAGTCGTCGTGCACTTCTTTCCATTTGATACCTCATCCCCCTTTTAACTCCTACCCCCTGCCCTCGTTTTACTATCTCGCTCGTAGACTTCTTCTTTCTTAACTTAGACTTTCTGAGTTACTATAGTCTTAGGAGGTCTAGTTTCTGTCCTATTTTCTTTACATCCGCCAAATATTCTTAGACTAAAGGAGCAAATAGTAAGATATTACATCGAATAAACTCGAGATCTCTTTCAATTCAACTTAAGCTATATAATGGCTTTGAAAGGTCAAAATGCGATCAATTAGTGGCTGTTCTAGTTCTTCTGTCAAGCAATCAGGACCAAAATGCGTCCGCGTATTAATGAAGGGGATGATTAACTTAAAGGCTACCTAGGAGAATTTCTTCCCTCGTGACAAAATATAGACTCTTTGGACTGAGTGGGTGCAATTCATTTCGCATAAATTATGCAGTCTCAGTATATTCCTACGAATCCTGTCGATTCAGGTGAAATTATTAGGTTGACCAGCACAATGAGCTATGGTGTAATTAAGCATTAGAAGATCACTTTAATTTTCAAGTTTTATTTAAGAAATCACTTTTAAACCATCTAGGGTAGTGTGTGAAGGGGTGCTCCTTCTGTCATCCCATCATTATCATGCTCATGGTGTGTGTAGCGATGAGCATCACATTCGTAATCGCTATTTTCACAGACGGACGCAATGGCCACTGCTCCTATTAGTGGCAATGTAGTGTTTCTCGTTTTTCTCCAAAAACTTCCCAGTATTCAATTAATCCCACTCTATTTCCAATTGTATTTAAACATGATCAACAATTGTCTTAAAACTGAGGTTTTTAGATCTTTTATAAGAGCTCCTAGACGGTTGCTTAATTTTCAGAGTTAATCATGATATTTGCCCCAGCCAAAGGTAAAATCCTCTCTTCTATTTCTGACTTTTCGCATCTTTATTTGCCCAAGTTAAATTGGCACTTTAAAATCGATTTTATTCAAATGATTTATTGGTATTTCGTTGGAATTTTTTTAAATGGCAGAACTCAGTAGTTTTAATGCTTCTTAACCTTGACATTCTAAAACAACATAGTGAAGTACATTTGTATAACTATGTCATTGGAACAATACTAAATAATAAGCCTCCGGCTATGAAGCTATTTTCTTCTTTGGTTCTGAACACTAGCTATCCAATTTTCAAGGTGCATCTCTATGGATTATTCACAGTCTATTCCTAAACTACTTTTCCAAAAAGGTTCCATAATGACATCACAGCTAATCCTATCCAACCTGGCGTAGGGTGTAGCTCTGCCCTTTGAGAAACGCGGAGACACACTATCGTCGAATTGCATTGGCTGCACAAATGCTTGCACTTTTAGTGTACACGCCCTCCCGAGGACATGTACGCTTAGATAGTTTTCTTTACGTGCATGTGTACCCAAGTACGTAATCACTTTGGAGTTAACAGACTTCTAAGGTCATTAGATAAGGAAATGTTACAACTTTTACTATGTTTCAACTTGCACGGAAATTTTGGTAAATGATTCCATAATTGTTCGTCTTCCACGTTCGATGTGACCATAACAGAGATTTATTGCTGATGTATCATGCTACTTTGTTCGCCTTTTCCAGACCTGCAATGGTTGCAAACTTAGGCAACCCTGTCGAAAGAGGTTCTCTATCCAGCGCTTCCCGAAAATTCTCGTTATTCGTATGTTTGTTGTTTCCTAAGTAAATTAATTATATTGAAATTAATTTACTCTAAGTTATTTTCTCTACAGACTTCAAGCGCTTCTCTGGTGACAGGTCAGGATCGAAAATCAATACTTTCATCGATTACCCTATTGAATGTCTTGATCTCACTCGATACATTTCTCATCACTGTAAGTCAATATCAATATAATTTCAGAATTTTGCCCTCAACCTGGCTTAATTTAAAAATTCATTATCGATCTATCGAATTGGAGGTCATTATAGTGAGGATGTTAAAAATAATGCACTAATTAGTAAGATAATGGTGCTCGTATGCTAACGCAATTAATAGGCATTTATACTATCAGATGTTATTGCAAAGCAGTGTCTATTTAATGGGTTGTTTGATAGATTAGGAAGTAAATGAATGTTGCGTATGCACTTTAGGCATATATTGTTGGCACTAAGTTAATAAATTCGAGTCTACAACATTTCATATTGAAGCCTTCAATGAATCGAGGAAAATAAATAGAGGAAATTATCCAAAAGCTTGCACTGTCAATCATTGTCGGGAGCCTATTTTATGACAATCAAATTCCTTACAGATAATCATCCGAAGGGACTATTGAGAACTCATTCCTCGTCTTTCCTATCTCAATTTTCTCCTACGGTTCTTTTAGTTTATTAGAAACCCAATAATGTGGAGACGGGAGAAGGCATCTTCCAACCTACATTATTTCTAAGCAGTTCATAAGTGAAAGAAAATAAATGGTCTGCCTAGAGGGATGTCCACTTCGATTGCCTATATTTGTCTGGTTGTTCTTTATTAACATTTGCTTTAGGAAAGGGTAATATATTCTCATTAAACTCGTATGATAACGTATTTCTATCACCAAAAGAAGGTTTATTTTGTGCTTCCATATTTGTTAAGCTGTTCCTATTGCTGTTTTAATCATCTAGCAAACATTTTCTTAAACTTTAAAATCCCTCTCAATTGCTTTGTTATAACCCGGATTTTCCAAGTTTTTTTCCATGATGGGCTTTTATATGGTGCTTCTTGTATTAGTTCACCATTCCACTTCAAGTTAAGTTGAAAGAAAAATCAAGGTTCAGTTTCTTTTTTAAGTGATTTGGTACAGATTTGTGATTAGTAGTAAAGATAAATTTCCATTATTATTATTATTATATATGCTTTATGTGCTCTCATTTTGTTAACATCTGCTCTATAGCATCAGAAACGGATGCTCGATATCAACTCTACGCAGTGTCGAATCACATCGGTAACGTTTTTCTGGGCCATTACACTGCCTGTTGCCGGCATCCTGATCTTAAATCCTGGCACCTCTTTAACGATCAAATGTACGCTTTTCTTACGTCATCTCAAAATATTATAAGCCAAGTGACTGCATTCATATATGTATTTCTTGCATTGCAGCGTCAGGCAAATTGAACCACGGGAGGCGGTATCAGCACAGGCATACGTCCTTTTCTACCATCGAATTAACTAACCCCCTCTCCCTCCCACTCTTCCTTCTTACCCATTTACTTGCTTTCACCTTTGTAAGTTACTTATTGCTTAATGGTAGAGTTCACGTATTTTGCAGCAGCAAATCGCCTCCCAAAATACGCACATTTTACTGCCAATTCGATAGAGTGATTGATTTCAAATAGAGTTATTTTGTTCACAACAAAACCCAAAGTCTTTCTAAAAGCCAACTAAGGTAATTATTGGCTTGACTGTCGGCACGCCACCTAGTGTGCACATGGTGCCTTCGTTGTGAGAGAATAAAAATAATAACACTGATGTAAGCAAATCGGCGACTACATTAAACACGCTCCCTCTCTCTCTCTCTCCCTCCTTCCCCTCACCACAACCTCTATTATTTGCTGCCAATTCTGTTGCCTCTTTCAACTATCCCCTTCTCTCATTGGCTTGTGGAATGTGAGATAAGGGGCGTGGATGCAAAAAAATGAGAATTCATTTCGCTCTTTTACTGGCCTTTTACGAAGTTTTTTTTTCATGTGTGAGAAATATATAGCAACTATCCAGCACGTACTTACTAGCAGAGCATTCACTATAGATATAACCTTTAAGACTAACTACTCTCGCTTAAATAAGCGCGAATTCGCACTAGATAATTGCGCTATATAATCAGGGCTATTAATGATTGTATGGCAAGTAGCAGAATTTCATGGATGTAATACCACTTAGCTACTCTTCCACTTTATAGTGTTAGCATTCATCGAGCAAGATGTTTTCCTGAACTAGTGGTTTCTTGTAGTAACTTGATGAACAGATCGAACTACCGAGTGAAGGTAATCTTGATGGGAGGTAGTATTTATAGCAACTATCTCAACTAGAATGAATGATGCAGGGTATTAGGATGAATAGTCTGTTGTGTTGAAATACTTTCAATATTGAAGTGTAATTACATTTACCATTTCCTCTCTCGAAGAGGCAAGTCGATACTAACTTACAATTATTTCAAAATAAGGCTCTAGATTCAAAATCACCAACGGAGCTCAGAGAGTGTCAAGCGACTGCCCCTCTTAGCTGTATGAACAACAATTGCAACAAGATAGAAAAGTGGGAGAGGGCGGGTGGGGGTGGAGACGGGTGGGGGTGGGAGCCCCCTGGCATCTAAGTACTGAGAGGCGGTACATTGTTGGGACGACATGAGCTGATTTCATTAACTTAGCAGCTATTAAATTGAATAAGCTAGTGAACCGTAATCGGCTTGTTGAGACTAAAACACTTTCTGACATCTAACAACAGCAAAAAGTAGGAAGTTTCGTAAGTTAAAGTAGCTTGAATAAGCCGCAGTGAGTGATTGAAAGTGGGAGGGTGGAGCTTAAAAGGATAAAAGCATGTGTGTGTGCATGAGATCGAGGCGAAATTCAATGATGCCTTATACGAAATACTTGGAAGAGAAAGCGTGGTGGACACTTGTCCGGACATGATAGATAGGAGATGGGCTGTTGGGCTATAAAGGCGAAAGATCAAATCATTTTCATAAATCAATGCGATAACTAGTTACTTAGGAAAAGGCACCAACCACTCAAAAAATTTTGAATAGCTCAGAGGCCAATTTCAACCATGAGTCTCTAAGTCAGATTAGAACAGTACTTAGAAACCACGCAGCAGATAGGGAAATTGACTTGTTGATACTTTCCAACTTTAATGTCAGCGTCTCCATCCTCTCTTCTCGTCTCCAGTAAGCAAGGTGTCGAAAAAACAAAACCCAATATCCCCAGCTTGTAACTGTCTCCTGATGACAAAATCACTTTAAGGTCCATTTAGTCCTGCTATAAGCGCAGTACTAACGGCGATGTAATTTATTGAATTTCAATGAATTGGTTGCATGCGGGAAATGGGAAGTAGGTCTCAACAAGTGGATTGTAGGAGACCCACGTAGGAGGGTGTTATGGGAATTAATGATAAAAGTTTGACTTGCGTTCATCTAATAGCAAAATTTCCTTAAAATACATCATCTGGGAGTGCATAGAATCAGTATCAGGTCGCTGTTAGTAGGATGCTAATTTATAATTCTGTGAGAAATGCCTCTGGAGTGCAGCAATGCACATTTTGATTCCTACGTGTATCTTCGTTGCCTTATTCAACAGTTACTCTTAATTCTTCGATAAAACAGGAAACAATTTTGTTTGGCATTGAATAAAACTTAAAATTATGATCATATTTTCAGCAATCCCCGACCTTCGAGTGCAGTATCAGTGTTATTATTTGTTGATAAATGGCGTTATTTATTGATCGAATTTTAGGAAATAGCAAGACCTATTACTATAAAACAACAAATGGAAACTCAAAGGCAAAAACTGTTAGAAAAACGCATGTGATATGGCATACATTTAGGGTAAGTCAAGTAAGGAATTATCGAAAAATGTTAGCGTTTTTTTAATCATTGGAATGTATATGAGGAATTATAATTTAATTTAGAATTTGCCAACTATGAAGATACATCATTAGTTCCGTCAGGGAATGCTGTTACCATTATTGTTTACCATATGTCCGAGATAGCCTCATTTAAAATGAAATTACCACATAATTCCATTAAATTGCCATTAGTGAAGTGTAAAATTCATTATTATAAGCCAATTATTGAAAACGTGACATGTTATTTATTTTATTAAGTTCATAGTAATGCTGCCTTGTTATTTATCTATAATGCAATTTCTGAGGGCTTTTGCCGCATTTCAAATGCAGTTTTCAGCTACTTCCTCTTCTGTTTATGGCTTTTATACTTGTCAGTCAGTCACCATGAACATGTTTAGTTGTATGTAAATTTCCTTGTTCATATTTTAATGCGACACCAACTATCCTAAAGTTTATATAAATACTTCCCCCCCCCCTCCCTCCCTCTTGTGAAAGCCAAAGTCAACTAAGGGGCTAATGATAAATACCATTTATTTCTATCAAATGGCAGGCTTTCTAATAGTCATCATTACCCCTTTTTGACTTCGAGAGGGGAAACAGAAGTGGGATTCACAGATGTACAAGGGAGTAGGCAAAATGGCAGAGAGTGGGGTAAGGTGAGTACTGCGAAAGTGGTCGAATATGACATAGAGTCGAGTCCTGGTAGTTTGAAGTCAACTGCCGATTTATAGACTTTTTTGTCTTATGAGTATACTTTGCCCAGGATGCACCACGTGGAGGTAAGTCTATCGTACACCCCATGATAAATATCCTAAAGCCTGCCATTTGAAACAATTAGACTATTTTAATGCTGCACCAATATTTGTAAAGCTGACAGATTGCTAGCAAAAAAACTGCCAATGCGTTAAGTTTTATTTCATAACGCAATGAAAAATTCTTAATTTTATATATTGAATGCCAACTGACATGTAACGCATTGGTCCGGTAGAATTTCGACCTCCAAAATTAATCCAAGGAAGCCAACTTTTTAGTATATTGATAATGCTCTAGGTTGATAGCCAATTAAAAATTTAAATTACTTTGTATCACGCAATTGCTTTTATTGGTGGCACTTAAAACAGCTACCTTTTAGCGCAGTTTTAATCTGGTAAACTTCTGCTATAACTGGAAAAGTTAATAGCGGTGTCTATTGCAACGGCAGTACTTTGTCACATAATTTGTTGACTAATAGTAATTAAGGTCTGTAAATTCAATAGTATCAGAATATAAATTTGCGCTAGGGTCTTCAGGAATCACTTCAATTAATTCACTTAAACTTATATATAATGGATAAAAACATGAGATGAACGCAATTAAGAAATGAAAGGAAGATTACACGCTGCTGCCTATTAGTGATGAGAAAAGGTACTGAAATTTCAAGGCTAATTTCAGATTTTCTACCCTGAATTATGGCATGATGATGTCCCCAAATAAATCCGATTTCTTAAATACAATTCAAACTAAATTCCACAGAATTAAAATAACAATTCTTATGGATTTGAGTTCCTTACAAATTAACTGGTCAATCATCGCGCTTGGTGTCTTTTGTCGAATTCGGACGCAGTGAGAATAGGCAACCTGGTGTTATGCTGTAGTCCTACACAAACCCTTCCTCAGAGATGGATCCAATCTGTCTAAGTTATTATTTCGAAGCAGGAGAAAATGCTTTCAATTTGATTGGTTAATAGTGGAAATCGAATTAACTATATAGCTTGAAAAAATCGGTATTATGAAATTAGTATCTGATAGATGGATTACAGTTTGAATTAACTTTATCATTCTTTACACTAATATAAAATGAACATTTGCTGTTTCCTACAAAAATTTCAACTTTATTTAATCTTTAATTAATCTTTACGTACTCGATTTCCTAACAAAAGTCCCATTAATTTTTTTGTTAAAACAAAATTGTTTGATTCCAATAAAGTACCTCGAAGATTTGTGCTTCTAGCATTCAAGAAAGTTGATAAATTTAACCTTAACATTTAATAAAGCGCTAGAAAGTATGCAATAAAGATTGTTGTGTTGTTTTAATTCCAAAGCTGGTTGCAGGTGGAATTAATCAGTGCCTATTTAATATATTTTTATTCATTGCATAATGTTTGGACTAAAACTGAGATTGCATTTATAATATTTTATTACTTTCATTTAAAGGATCTACGTTGCTCTTTAATCAAGGCTAAAATTACTTTGACTCAAAGAGAAGGGAAAAGAGAAGTCTCAAAGTAAGAAGGATGATTTGTTGATTTAATAAATGCATTAACTAATATTATTGGAGCATGTTTATCTCCCAGATGAGGTAATACTTACAGATGGGGCTACTCAATGGGTAGTTTTGCATGTCGAGCAAATTGTACTTGAGTGGATATTGGGATTATCCATTAGCTCTAAGAGTTTTAATTCTAATTCTTGAAATTCCTTAATTCACCAGATCATTAAATAAGTGATACTTCATGCATTCCCCCTTTACCAATTAAGGATTGATAATATTATCTCGCGGACACCACAGAAATAGAACTGCTTTTTAAGTTTTCTTTTTTGCTAAGGTGACATATGCTGTTAGGAGCTTATCGCGTGATTTCCCAGAATTAATAGATTTATCATTAGAGTTGCCTATCTATTGAATATGTGGGACACGTTATCGCTGTGTGCGTCATCGTATGCCTGCATGTCTGCTCGCCAGGGCTGGGAGGTGCGGCCGTACAACTCTGTGTGCAGCGACCGTACAAACAGTGACCAATCATCAACCTCTCTTTAACCTAATCCCCCATCCTGATCATGAGTAGCTCCCTGCGTGTACACCTTATCCACAATATACTGACGGAATAAACGTACACCGTGCTACGCCCCTGTTTCCTTTATAGTTGAACTATAGCTTAGCTGGTTGTGGGAGTCTAGCTAGATGTAGGAGGATCTGCCATAGAGATTTCTGAGTCAATCAGGCTTCAATAAAGTAGCAAGCCGCTACAAATACTTCAAGATTACGGCATATTGAAATTCGTGAGGAAAGTTGCTGCTTATGCCAATTGAACCACTGGCAGACTTCTGCCCTTAAATCGAAAGAAAGGTTGCTAAACTCTTATCTATCTATTCGGCGACTAATGCTTTTAAAAAAGATGAGTATTTTTTATTTATTTTTTTATATTTTCTGCATTCATGTAGTTCACTTTTATCTTTTTAACTGGTAGTAATTCATTTGAATCAATCGCCCGAGCAACAGACTTTGCAGCCTAAGTTTTCTTAATTCATTTTTATTTTTTTTATATCGAAACTTCTAATAAAAGAAAACTGAAAAACGACAGCAAATGCGCCTTCTGATATATTCCAATTGTCTAACCATCTCACTATTCATTGTAAGTGACAAAATATATGGTCTTAAAGAGAGTGGAAGAGTGACATAAAGAAATGCAGAGTATTTTTAGCCTGTTGATTTTTTAA